GACAATGGTTCTACAAGTGTATTTGTATGTTCTGTAAGAATTCCCAGGTATATAGTAGAGCTGACAAGGGACAAGGTTGTAAGTCACTTCTTGGTCATAGCAAGCTATCCAGAGGGAGCGAGTAGTTGAACCTGTGGGCTTGGGACCATAGTCACAGGGACATCAAGCTCAGTTGGCATAACACAGTACACAAAACATTGTTCCACCTCCTACTTCGACGAGTAGCGACTGGGATCTTAAAAGCTTGCTAGCAGCCATCTGGATGTGGTGATGGGTCTCTCCTCGTCCAGAAAGGGGAAGAATGAAGAAAACCAAAGATTCATGGAAACAATTAGTCCTAGTGACTGGTGCACCATGCAATCCGCAGCCTGTGTAAGTATGAGACCAGAGGACTGGATGGTGCCCGGCTGCCACTGTCGGCCACTCAGGGGAATCTATGTGGGAGATCCTGGATAAAAAGGGAGAACAATGTGGAACAAAACTCAAAATCATTTGGAGGAAGGGGAAAAAGAGGAGACCAGGTTTGCTGGTCTGATAGAGTTTGGTAGAATCACTGAGACTATGGCCCCTGGCTGCCTTTCAGATCTGAAATTGAACCCACACCTGTGGCTTCCAGACAAACAAAAGACAGGCATATGAGTAGAACATTTACCTAAGGTAGACACACTTCTTGGGAAGAACAATCATGGGGGAAAGAAGGGCTATTTATGCACAGGGAGCCAGCTCAGGGGGCAGGAGTGCATAGAGGGATGGACACAGGGAGGAGGTAACTGTCAGGAGGAAGTGGGAGGGGAGCTGTTGCATTGGGGCAAAGTGTAGTCAGTGTCATTAGACAAGGTGTGTGTAAACTGCTGTATGGAAAGTGAGTTTGCCCTGTAGACTTTCACCCAAATCACAATAAAACAAACAAACAAATAAGGGGCTGGGAAGGGGCAGAGGGGAGAAGATGAGATGTTGGCACTTTCAGCAGTCCTTAGCGAAATGCTCCCTAAACTGTTTCAGAGCTGGGCTTCTCAAACTTTAATGGTACACAGATCATCAGGGCGGCGTGTTAAAAGCAGATTCTGATTTGGTGGGTCTGCGATGAGGACAGTGAACGTGCTCCCAGGGGATATGAATGCTGCTAGGTCCAGGGACAAAACTGAGAGGAAAGGCTTTTTATGACACAATGTTTATAGAGACTCTGGTCAAGAGTATTTAGAAAACTGATTAAACAAATATTAATGGATCTCTTTAATGCAAGATTTTCACAGCTTTTAATATGCTAATGTGATTGTGACTCTCCAAGGAAGTTTAGGGGATAAATGAGGATATAAAATGGGGGATATTCAGGGTTTCTGAACCTTCTAGAGCACAGGAACTTATCCCATCCCACCCTCAGCACCTAACACATCATTTAACCCTGTGGACAAATGCTTCCTTAACAGACCTTCAACTGTAAACCCCTTCACCTACTGAAGGAGTGTAGCACCACCCCAAAAGCCCTCCAGGAGAGGCCACCCCTCAGCTCATGTGGGCTGGGAGTATTCTCCTCTCTCCAGTATTGGAAAAGAGGGCTACAGAGAGGTGGTGCCTGTTGTCCCCTTCCCTTCCAGGTGAACACAACTTTCATTGGAGTGAAGGAGAAGTACTTGAGTGAATACTGCTTTGCTGGATCCTACATTTTAAAGCTCCTGGAATACTATAATTTCACAGATTACTGGAATCACATTGAGTTCATGGACAAGGTAATGTAGGTACTTGTTGGGTTGAGGGGAGGTCATTGGTAGTGACTGAAGAAATGTTGGCTTTGAAAGAGGTGACAGTCAACCTGATTTAAGTTTGGCCCAATGTCTCATTCCACTGTTTTACCTCTAACCCAAGTTGGTAGTTTGAGTCAGGCCCTCCTGTATTATGTTGACTGACCAATTGTAGCTTCCTGTATTATCAGCATCACCTGTCTGCTCACATAACAGGGACTCATTTCTTTTTTTTTTTTAATGTGATATTAAAACAATGTAACAGCCTTTCAGTAGCCACAGCAATTCTGTGTGCTAACTTTAATAGCTTCCCAAGGGCCTTTCCTCAAGTCAAGAAAAGACAACCATGGTTTCTTGTAAGGGTGAAGTTCTTGTTGGTTGTGGCTCTTAATGCCAACCTTTTCAGAGCTGACCAATCTGAAAGCCCATGTGAAGAAGGGGACTGGGCGGCTCTGACTGGACCATTGCTTACAAGTGATTTCACTACTCTGCTTTATCACAGTTCTACCTGCTGTCATCCAAGCAGAGAGGAGTATTTCCACCAGCTGTGCCACTCATGCTTGAGGAAAAACTATCAAGAGAGTGTTTTCTACCTTTTTAAACCCATGCCTGCTAATGGCAAAAATATTATACCTGCTTTATTAAATATTGTGATTTCAAGCAAAAGACAGCACTGAGACAAAGTAATGTAGCAGCCCTGAGGAGGCTATTTTATTACACTCTTGTGTAATTAGACTTTGCTAATTCCAACAGAAATGTTTTCCTGTACCCAGCCTACCTTCCATTCCCTCATGGGTTCAGGTTTGTTTAAAGTCTGTATACTTGAAGATTGATGCTCAGTCCTGATTTATAATCTTTGAGGTCTAATGAATGACCCCGTATTTCTAAGTGCTAGGCAATAATAACTCCTCAACTCTGGACTCTTCCTTGACACACACAGTCAGATAAAGTCTCCGCCCCCACAGAGGGCAGTAGATCTTTTATAAATGATTTAGTTCCAGTACTAGTAAGGGTTCGGGAAAACCGAGTATTTCCACATGTCATTTGTTGGAGTGCAAATTAGCACAAACTTTCAGGAGACAATTTTGGCCTTATGTGCCAAGAATCATAAAAATATACACATCGTTTTATTCAATTACTCTCTTTTTAGGATGCATAAATAAGTGAATATTGTGAGTGAAAATGAATGTGTAACACAGTTCTTGCCAGTACTGCAGAGATACCTTAAGAGACATGGGATGATGTTCACAATAGATTGTTAAGTAAATAACTACATACAATTTAATTTCTTTCTTTTTTTTTTTTTTTGTAAGAAAAAACATGCCGAGAGAGGACTGGAAGGATACATCATAGACTGATAATAGCAGCAACGTCTAAGTGGTTAATATGGGTGATTTTTATTTTCTTTTTTAGGCTTATGAATACTTCCTAATTTTTCTACTATGACCATGAATAACTCATGTAATAAAAACATTTCCAAAATTATTCACAGACCTTCTGCATTCCAACACTTGCTGCTGTATGTTCCCAACAACCATATCCCTGGTTTGGAATATAAATGAATACATGTTAGACAACTGAATAGGTGCCCTTCACCTAGTGGTTGGCTCATTGTTATGGATGGGTTTCATGGGCCTATAGATTGTCTCCTTGGACCAACAAATAACAGACTTTCCTGTTTGCAGATAAACAACAATGCCGAAGCCGGGTGGACACTGGGCTACATGCTGAACCTGACCAACATTATCCCAGCTGAGCTGCCACCGCCTAAACCCTTCTCTCGCCCCACCTACATCTCCCTCATGGTCGTCTTCTCCCTGGTGCTGGCTGCAGTGTTCATCCTAGGCTCGGTGCTCTTTCACAAGTCTTGGTATTTCTGGAATTAAATGGATTAGCATGAGCAACTGATCTGCTGGCTGGAGTGAGAAGAAAAAACCTGCCCAGAGAGCACTTTCCTCCCTGGCTGTGTACAAGACCGTCCTTCTCTGCTTGCCAGGGCCAGTTATGACAGCACAAGCTTCCTTGCCTTTTGCTGATGGCTTTCCTTGGGACATATTCACCACTCTTTGCCTCAAGGACTTCTGGGCAAACACTGTCTCTACTGTGGGTCTTTTCCAGTTGTCCCCTTCCTCTTTCATACTCTTGTATTTATGTAGGTCTTGAAGACCTGCTACTTCTCATGATTTTTGTTTTATAAAAGAACAGTATTGACTTTTTCTAGAAGAACTGTGAGTCCTGAGTCCTGTCCTGGGAAGTTGAGCTGGTTAAGAAAAGAATCTCAGGAGCTGGTTAAGTTGTACACTTTGAGTTCCCCTCTCCCTCTTGCCATTTATGAAGAAAGCAATATAATGCTTCTGGAGAGGGCAGACTCATCCCATGCCCAGCCTGTCCTGTGAGGGGGAGGATTTTCCTACACTAGGTAAATGAGTATTAGGGCCAAAGAGTCTCACAGGAGTTTATGTGCTGATCCAGTTAATAGGATATTTAACCCCATCCAAAATAGGGATGTGGATGAGTTACATATTCCTGAGTGATGCCAAAATGGTGCAGAGTGGAACACCCAGATCAGAGACTTTTTCAAAGCTGATACCTATAAGTTTTCAGATATTAGAGGATACCACAAGGTAGGCATATACATGGTAGGAAAAAGAAAATACAGTTATAACTCAGGGTTGAGAAAATGCATTCTTCAATGCATCCATTGTTTTTTAAAAAAATTGTGGTAAAATACACACACAGGCATACTTTGGAGAAACGGTGGGTTTGGTTCCAGACCATCACAATAAAGTGACTATCACAATAAAATGAATCACATGAATTTTTTTGTTTTTCAGGGCATATAAAGGTTATGTTTACATTATACTGTCATCTAACTATGCAATGTTGTTGTTGTTGTTGTTATGTGCCGTCGAGTTGGCCCCGACTCATAGCGACCCCTCCTTGGGTTTCCGAGGCAGTATCACTACGGAAGTAGGATTGCCCAACCTTCCTTCCAAGGAGTGGCTGGTGGGTTTGAACCGCCAGTATTCTGGTTAGCAGTCAAGTGCTTTAGCCACTATGCTACCAGAGCTCCTAACTATGCAATAGCTTTATGAAAAAGTTTGAAATATTGTGCAAATTACCAAATTGTGACACAGAGACACAAAGTGAGCACATGCTGTTGGGAAAATGACACCAATAGACTTGCTCAGCACAGGGTTGCCACAAACCTTAAATTTGTAAAAGAAATAAAACTAACGTATCTGCAAAGCTCAATAAAATGAAGCACAATAAAATGAGGAATGCCTGTAATATGAAATTTACCATTTTTACATGTACAGTTCAGTCTCTGTTGTGCACTCATTACCACTGTTTAGTTACAGAACATTTTCATTACCAAAAATTGGCTGGAGACAAGAACATCCCTGCATTCAAACCACCAACCTTTCAAGTTAACAGTTGAACACGCACTAGATGATGACACCGTAAAGATGCTCACTGAGGTTTAAAGTCATACCATGTCTTACTGTCCCAGGATTTAATTTAGTGAGAGAGCTGCATTAGGATGGGGGCGGGGAGAGAACCACCGACTACTGAGTGGATTCTGACTCCTGGCCTGCCCACGTGCTGTAGAGAAGAACACTGCACTGTAGAATTTTCTAGGCTGTGACCTTTTAGAAGCAGATCACGAAGGCACCTCTGGGTGGGTTCAAAACACTAACCTTTTGGTGAGTAGTTGAGTGCCTCACTATTGGTATAGCATGGCATGCTTTTGTGCTGCCATGGTATTTACACATGAAAATATGCAACAGGTCTGAAAGTGTTGTTGCCAGTCCTGTCACACAAATATGGGCTTGCTTTCTTTATACTGTGGAATGCTCTGTGGGAGAAGAAAGAAGTGGCTATGGACCCTTGTGGTAGTTAAACGTGTCTGTCAACTCGGCTGGGCCGTGGTCTTGAATGCCTTGCAGATGGATGTAATTATTCCTCATGACGAGACTGTCATCACCTCCATGGTGGAATCTGCTGTCAGCACCTAGTCAGTTGAAGGAGAACTGCCTTCGAGGTGTGACTTTCTTCCAGTATATGTGAAGAAGCGTTGAGAAAGATCTTTAGCTTTCTGGCACATTTTGGATCCTGCATTTGCCTGAGTCTTCATCTCCAGTTCCTGGACTTGAACCAGTGGCCTGACATGTAGTCCACCGATCTTGGGATTGTGCCATATTACCTGCTGATCTTGGGTTTGTCAGTCCCAGCAGCCTGTGTTAGGAGATGCATCCAGCTCCAGTGGGCCTGGAACAAGGGGCAGAGCTGAAGCCCAAGGTTAAGAGACTTTCACCCAGCCCCTAAAACCAGCACTCTGAATTTGGACTTCTAGCCTCCTAAACTGTAAGAGAATACATTCCCATTTGTTAAAGCCGTCCACTTGTGGTATTTCTGTTACAGCAGCACTAAATAACCAAGACAGACCCCTTCATGGAAAGGTGACGAGATCTTGCAAGAACTGCTCTAAGAGTCATCCATTGAGCAAGAATGACTGGTGATACATTATTCTGACCTTGTCATAAGCTCTCCATTGCTGGACCTGGGCACTGATTGTTGTGCTTATGGGGGGAAGGAAAGCTCTCCCATAGACTATAAGCCAAATTTTTCTGTATTTTTTGAATGATCAAGTTGTTTTGGAACAATATCCAGGTGAATATAAACTTAAACTGTAGATAGGAGTTTTTCTACCACTCACAACTGAATAATAGTAATAATAATAAAAAACTCACTGCTGTCAAGTTGATTCTGACTCATAGAGACCCCTCCTTGGGTTTCCAAGGCAGTATGTCTGTTCAAGTAGATTGTCCAGTGTTCTTTCTGAGGAGTGGCTGGTGGATTTGAACAGTCAGCCTCTGGTTAGCAGTCAAATGCCTTAGGCACTACACCACCAGAGCTCCAAACTTAATTAGGAATCAGAAGCCAAATTAGGACACTTAAACCCTCTTTCTCGTAGTAGCTGGATATATTATGTTGTTGTTAGATGCTGTTTTGTTTCTCTAGTGCCACTCTAACAGAAATAACACAAATGGGAGCTTTAACAAACAGGAGTTTATTCTCTTAGTTTAGGAGGCTAGAAGTCTGGGTTTAAAGTGCCAGCTCTAGGCACTGAGTGAAAGCCCCTTGACCTTGGACTTCAGCTCTGCCTCTTGTTCCTGGCCCAGTGAAGCTGGAGGCTTCTCTTAGGCATCTGCTGGCTGCTGAGGGTGACAAACCCAAGGTCAACTAATAAAATGTCAGAGTCCCAAGATTATCAAACAACTTGGCAGGCCACTAGTTCAAGTCCAGAGACAGTTCCAAAATCAGCAGGAAACATGGCAGGCTGCTGAATGAAGGCTTGGCTACATGCAGGGTCCATGTCAAGAAGCTCAAGACCATTCCCAAAGTTCCTCCTTATATACTGGAAGCAGACCACATCCATAAGACAGCTACTCAGCTGCTCCGGTAGATTCCACCATGGAGTTGATTACCACTCTCATCCTGGGGAATTAACTACATCCAGCGGCCCAGCCAAGGAGACACATAAACCTTAACTACCACAGATGCCCTCGAGTTGGTTCCAACTCATAGCTTCCCCATGTACAACAGAATCACACAGTGCTCAATCCTGTGCTATCCTCACAATCATTACCATGCTTGAGGCCATCATCACAGTCACTGTATCAATTCATCTCATTGACTTGTCTTCCCCTTTTTCATTGATCCTCTACTTTACCAAGAATGATATCCTACTCCAAGGATTGGTCCCTGCTGACAACATGACCAAAGTACAAAGATGAAGTCTGGCCGTTCTCACTTTTAAGGAGTGTTTCAGCTATCCTTCCTCCTAGACAGATTTGTTCATTCTTCTAGGCGTCCATGGTACATCAGTATTCTTCACTAACACCACAATGCAAATGAGTCAATTTCTGCAGTCTTCCTTATTCATTGTCTAGCTCTCACATACATATGAGACTATTGAAAAGACCATGGCTTGGGTCATGTACCCCTTAGTCTTCAAATTGATGTCTTTGCTCTAACACTTTAAAGAGGTCTTTTGCAGCAGATTTGCCCAATGATTCTTCTGAATCATTTGATGTTGTGACTGCTGCTTCCATGGGCATTGATTGTGGATTCAAGTAAAATGAAATCATTGACAATTTCAATTGTTTCCCCATTTATCATGATATTGCTTACTGGTCCAGATACGAAGATTTTTGTTTTCTTTATGTTGAAGTGAATTCCATTCTGAAGGATCATCATCATAAGTGCTTCAAGTCTTCTCCACTTTCAGCAAGCAAGGTTCTATCATCTGCATATTGCAGGTTGTTAATGAGTCTTCCTCCAATCCTGATGGCCATGGTCTTCTTCATATACTCCAGTTTCTCAGATTATTTCTTCAACATACATGTTGCATAAGTATGGTGAAAGGATACAACCTTGACACACAACTCTTCTGATTTTAAACCATGCAGAATCTCTCTTTTGTTTGAACAACTGCCTCTTAGTTTATGTACAGGTTCCTCATAAGCACATTTAAGTGCTCTGGAATTTCCATTCTTAGAAGTGTTATCCATAATTTGTTATGGTCAGCAGAGTCAAATAAAACACAGGAAAACATCTTTCCGGTATTCTCTGCTTTCAGCAAAGATCCATCTGACATCAGCAATGACACCCCTCATTCCATGTCCTCTTCTGAATCCAGCTTGAATTTCTGGCAGTTCCTTGTCGATGTACTGCTGCAACTGGTTTTGAATTATCGTTAGTAAAATTTGATTTGCATATGATATTGTTCGATAATTTCTGCCTTCTGTGGTATCACCTTTCTTTGGAACTGGCACAAATACGGATGTCTTCCAGTCAGTTGGCCAGGTAGCTGTCTTCC